TCCCTGAACTTGAAACTTTTTATTCAGTGTACACCTAAACTTAATTTCGTTTTAATTACCCCCCTGAACTTGTTTATTCATCCAACACGCACACCTTTTCTGTCCACGTGGCGTAGAAACTGAAATCAAACTCTACAAGGTGCGTGCGAGAGCGATTTTTTGCCACATCATAAAGTTACTGTCATATTCGGGTTTACCCCCTAGACATAACCGGCGTAGTCGTCCTCTCATAGGACTAGAACTAGCCAATTAGTTTACATCATCACATTCATAAGTCAAATTTAGCGGAAAATTTAAAATTTTTCATTACATCTACTTGGAGGTTTACATAGACCTCGACATACACACAATATAGTCGTATTGAGTATACATAGACCCTTCGTATAGAAAGGTTACATAGCCTTCTACTTTTATTACACATACAAATATATATAAGATAGAAAGATAGTTTCAAAAATTATCTCATCTCATACCATCTAAATGATTATCACAATATGGGCATAGCCCTACATCAAATGTAAAGAAGCCACATATAGGCTTATACAAGTCATACACAATGAAAGTGGAATGAACATAAAAGTCTTAGAAAACAAAGAAACTTCGTAGGCAAGATATTGACATCAACCTCGGAAAGTGAGGACCTACCCACTTGGATGATAGAGAATATCCAAGCCTTCTTTAAGTCATCCCGAATGAGCCTTCAACGACCGGAACCTAAAATGTTTGGAAAAAGGGAAGAAAATAGGGTTAGTACTCCACATGTACTAAGTATGAGACTATATGCACATATAATGTCAAAACATGCTAAAAGGGACATTTAGTCAAAACATGCCATTTTACCCTTTTAAAAGTTTAATGCAAAATCAAGCAAGTCATACCAATCTACGAAACATGCTTACTAACTCAAACAAGTAATATGTATCCCAACATACTTGGACCCATGATTTACTACAACCCTATCATCAAGGAATAACATCACAAGCATGACTAAGAGTTAACCATATCATAATAAGCAAGACAACTACTCATGAATCCTTATCAAATCAACAAGTGCAATGACCAAGTAAAGCCCCATAACCTTATTCAATCATTTAGACCCAACAAGAAATCATAACCAATGCCCAACTTCACATAACATAACTTAAGCATACTTTCCATCTTATTTTAACAACATAACCCAATACATACTCATAAATGAACTAATCAACATATAGTATCAACAATGTGCAAATTCATCATGTACATGTCATATATCATCATAACATAAACATATATAAGCAAATCTTCCTAAGACTCCCTTCAAGGCTAGCTAGCGCAATGCTTAGGTAGAGCCTCATACCCCAACCTAGACTAAGCTAGACCCTTTAAGTTATTCTAGTTAGAGTTCAAGTCCTTTAATTATTTTAGCCTTTGGGAACATGTTTCCCTAACCGACATACACCACATGAGATAATGTGAAATTCGGTGTCATAAAATCCTACGCCGAAAGAAGTCGGACTACTTGCCAAGATAGTACCAAAACATGAAACATAGCAACTAGGTGGTCCACTAGCTAGTATTCCTATGGGGGTAACATAGTTCAAGAACTAGGAGATATAACTGGGACCCTCTTTATGCTTCATGAATTGTAGTCTCCAATCTCAAGAGTACTTTAGTGCTCCTACCTTCCCGATGTGGAAAGAGATAATCCTCAATCTAGTTCACTAGGTGGTAAGCTAGAGTCCCTTTGTAAGCCTTTAATTATCAATCATAGCTTAGTTTAGGTCATAGGGTCTACCCCTTGTATAATCATCATCATCAATAGCTCAATAAAAATTGTATGAGTATAAGTCCTTTCATTAAAATTTACATAGGTGAGGTTAACACATTAGCATCTCATATCATAATAATGCACATTGATAGTTATCACCATCCTTATAACACATTCACCTTAATCAACTTCACAACATACTCAAGACATTTTAAATTCAACATCATACCATACTATTAATCCTAATACAAGGCTTACTCTAATATAACATCATGACTTAACCACAATTAATCACAATTGGAAGTAAAGCTAGGGATTCTAAGACTTACCAAGTCTTTTTCACAATTCATGACCAAGGTCTTACCATCAACCCTTAACTCAACCCAATTAGGGGAGTAACATGATCACAATATGATAACCATTAAGATAACAATACCAATTGCATCATTATAACACAATCCAACACTAGATCATAGCTTAAGACAATATAATTAGGTCAACTTCACAATATACTTCATAACCTAACTCACATCTCAAGAAATAGCATGATAGACCTATAATTCATCTTAATTTATTCATAATAACACCATAGGATAGTAGTCTAATCAATAACCAAGTCAATATAGATCAAGATCACAACCTAGGGTTGGGGATTGAGGATCATGTTCTTCAAATTAGACCAAACCATCAACAATTACCATAATAAATTTAAAATACATGTTAATCTATTTAATATAACCTAAAGAAATCATCAACAACTCAATTCATAACTTAAATTTTGTAATTGGATGAAACCCACATGAAAACTTAATTTTTGAAATTCATTTTGAAGGAACCCTTTGAGGAAAGAGTCTCAAAGGTGAATTAGACCCCATACCTTAACGTTTGATGAAGAATTGATGGTGAATTTGTCCCTTTCCATCCCCCAAACCCTTCTCCTTGCTACTCTTCGATGGTGAGTTCAAGTAGAGAGAAAGAAGAGAGTTTGTGTTGAGAGTTGTAATTAGATTAATTGGGGTTGGAGCCTTTATATGTGAGTGAAGTTAGTAAATTAGTCTCCATTAATCCCTAACTAACCCCTAAATAACTTAATTAATTAATTGACTTAACATTAAAATCGTGCAGCAACTCAAGACCCTCATAGACGGAACCCCGCCAACGGGCCGTTTGTGAGTCGACGAATTGCCTTCCTCCATCCTGCACTCCGTAGGTGAGTTCAGAGACTGTGTAGGCGAGTGAATTCCTCAATTTGTCTAAGTGTGGGGCGACGATGGCATCGACTCCCTATCGATCCACACACGGGCCGTCCCTTGTCCCGTCGATGCACACTGTCAGGCAGTGTTGCCTCAAACTGCAGGAGTCCTCCTCAAGGGCCCTTGGTTGGTCCTTGGGGAGTCGTACTCGGACGTTTTGAGCATGAAATAACTTAAACACCTATTATCTATCTTTCCACCAAATAGGCTAAGGCATGCTAATACCTCTTTGAACCAACTTCCAGACGTCATGGACGTTTTGGTTCTTAAACCTCCTAAATGACCTAAATTCATTAAGATGGACTTAAAAACAGTACCTATGTTAGGATCTACGACACGTCTTGGATTTTTGAAGGTGTTACAATTATAACGGTAATATACGTAAAAATATCTGTTTTTCTTTAATATTTGACTTATTTTAAGGATTTTTATCTCTCTATTCTCTAACTATTTATTCTTTTTTATCCCTTCTCCCTTTTCAAATTTCAGACTTTTCTCGGTTGTAGACACTATAGGGTATGTACTGTTACTCCTTTTTTGCTTTTTATTTGCCAAGTTCGTATTATGCAATTTTATTTTGTAACTTTGATTTTATAAAATGCAGTCCTCATTTCAAAATTCTTGTAAGTTTTTTTATTGGTATGATTTTGAATTTCCGACCAGGCGAATATTGTAATTTTGGGTTTATTGAAGAAAACCAACAAACAATAAGAACAGCTCAAGTGTGAATGGATATTGAAACTAATTTTCGGTATTAGTTTGACATGTAATGTGATATTGTTCTTTTATTTAGTGTGTCATTGAATTTTTTTTTTGTGAATGCAATTGTTATTAAGGCATGATCATTTGTTTCTAGGGTTCTCATTTTGTGGATTAGTTTGGTTTGGTATTCTAGTAATTTATGTTTTTGTTGACTAAAGATATATATATATATATATATATATATATATATATATATATATATATATGTCTTTGTATATATCTAATTGACTCCTTTTTCATCAAACTATAATTACATGTAATAGGTAATATTATAACACGAAATAATAACATGAAGGCAGCCTAACATAAAGGCATAACATAACTAGTGCTTTCTTGATCATAAAAAAGAAACATCATAGTGTTTCATTGTTTCAACCAACAACACAATAACTTAAGTTTACCAGCAAAACATAAAACAATCCCTAATTTAAGGTTGGTTGAACAACCACACAAGCACCAAAACACAAAACAGTAACTACTTTAAGTTTGGTTGAACAACCACACAAGCACCAAAACATAAAACACACTATTTCATGTTTGGTTGATTAACCACACAAACACCAAAAGAAACAGTCACTAACTTAAGTTTGGTTGTTATACCCACACAACCACACAACCACACAATTAAGAAGTTTTCTTTGAGGGTGATTTTCCCTTAGCTTGTGCCCTGTTTGAATGTCAGCAACTTTTGATCTAGTTTGAATATGATGCATAACACTTTGGACTTGAAGTTTTCTTTGAGTCATGACATGTTTGCCTTTCCACTTCAGTCCCTTGGTAGGTTTAAAACCAATATCACCTGTCATATGCGCAAAACTCACCACACCAATATTAACCCTCCTACTTCTAGACAATCCTTGCTGCAATATCAACTACATAGTTAATTTTGGGACTCACATTTAGAAGGCAAGTATAATTTTGACAGTTTTATAAGACACTTACATTAATACACGTGTATCTAGTATCAGCAAAAAATACATCTTGTCCAATAACTTTTGTCCTCGTCTTGTAACCACTTCCTGCACTTCTTTGTACCTGTGTTGTTGTTGCTTGTATCAGTCGTATTGGTGCTTGCTCTTTCATAGTGGCCTCTACCCCTGTTTTTTCCAGTGGTGGACTAATATGAGTGGAAAAATAATACAATAAGAGATTAAATAAATAAGTAATCTAACATATTTATAAAAGCAAATAAATATGAATGTACCTCTTGAGTGGGTGTTGGTGTAGACTTAGGTTTAGGATTTGTTTGGACAAATTCTCTTGTTATGATTTGGTCCTTTGAAAATAGAACATGTCATTATTTGTCCCATTCTTGACAACTTTCCAGCTTTTCTCACTTCACCAATTTCTCTTCTTCTGTTCTTTGGTGGCCTACCAGACATTTGTCTTGCCTCAGGTGGTTCAACCATTGAGTTTCTGATTTCAGGCCACATTTTCATGTTTGAGAATAGTTGAATGAAATGAGAATATGTCTTCATATATGTCTCTTTTCTATACCAGCTAGAGATTGCTTGTGATGCATTCATGTTCAAGTGGTTCATTGCTGCTATACTATGTGCACATGGGAAACCTTTTAATTCCCATAATCTGCAACTACATTTTTGGTGACCCAAGTTTACGATATTCTTGTATTCTCCTTCTAACACTTCAAATCCAACATCATTATTCCATTCAATGTTGTCCTGCATTGATCTTGTTACATTGGTATTGTATACCATCATTGCCATTAGAAATATTACATCTGTCCATGTTTCAGGAAATTCTCTTGACTTACTCACCCTACTCATCACCTTAACTCTAATTTCTTCCAACATAGTTACAATGGTCTTGTTCCTAGGTCCCAAGATCAAAGAATTGAAACTCTTTGCCATGTTGTTATCTATACTATCACACTTTGAAAATGTTTGAGAAAAGATTTGCACCATGTCTCCTTGTTGTATTTGATAAAGGATTTAACAATACCTGTTCCCAGCTTGGATAGAGCATTTATATTGTACTTAAATTGTGCCTCAAATCTTGATCTAGCACAAGCCCAAAATTTCTTCCTTTTCTCTATGCCTATGAAGTTTTATGACCAATTTGCTAATATGTGTCTAGCATATTCTGTGCTCACATTATGGAAATAGTTCATCTACAACAACTATTAGTCCCTGTAGTTGCAAAGCAAAACAAGATAGTTAAATTTTGGTCAAATTAAATTGGCAATTAAATTAAACATAAACAAAAGAAAGATATTCAATTACCTTTTGAATATCATTAAGGATAGTGAGATGAGAACCATTTCCTAGATTAAGATAATCTTTCATAATGGTCATGAACCATTTCCATGTCAACTTGCTTTCAGTATCAATTACTGTCCATGTTATTGGATATATTTGGTTGTTTGCATCTTTAGCAACAGCTACCAAAAGTTGACTATTACAAATTCCCTTTAGAAAACACCCATCCAACCCTATACATCTTCTGCATCCTTGTTGGAAACCTTTTTTCATAGCATCAAAACAAATATAAAAAGAGTAAAACTGTTTCATCCCATTTAATAATTCTGAATCTTTAAGCTTCACAACGCAAGTGCTACCAGGATTTGTTTGGAGTAACATATCTTTGTAGTCTAGGATTCTGTTAAATTCTGCGACATGATCACCCATAATTTCCTTTAAAATAATTTTTCTTGTTTTTAAACAAACTGTCTTGCCTACATGAACATTCAACTCTTTCCTCACTAATTCTTGTATCTCCCACCCTTTTTACTAGGTTGAGAAATAATCTTATCTTTCAGATACTTACTTTAGAACTTTGAATTATACAAAATATTATTGGTAGTCCTGGTACATTTGTGCCTTGGGTTGTATGTCTTGATAGTAAAATTCTCACTCCTCCCTTCCTTGCTTGCATACAACAGTCATGGACAACCACTTTTACACTTCACTCTCACTCTAGTACTCTCATTCATATACTTGTCTAACTCAACACCTTTTTTAATAGCATATTTTGTTACTGCCTCTCTAAATTGCTTTACACTTTCAAATACTAAACCACACTGCCATATTACAATATCACAAGAAGAATCATATACCACCCTATTGCTGTTCTTTCTCCCACTTAAACTCCCTCATTCAAGTTCATCATCAGAAATATGTTCTTCTTTATCACTTTGAAAACTATCACAGTTAGATCTTTCATAGTATGGCTCATCATCTGTTAGCTTACCCTTGAATTTTTTTTCCCTTTTTCAATATCCTCATACCCTTCATCAAGTCTAACTTCACCTGAAAAACCTTTTGGTTTTTCCTTCTTTTTTCTCCACCTACTTTCTCTAAGCTTTCTCACATCTTCCTTAACAATTTTTAACTCCTCATGCATATCACTTCCATAGTCAATAGACTATCTATGTCTTCCTCTGCATTTTCTTGGGCACTTGACTCAACTTCTTTTTGAATAGAAGGTTCAATTTCTTATTAGACAGTTGGTTCAACTTCTTCTTCAGTAACAACCCAATCTATTAAAGAATAATCATCATCACTTTCTTATTCGACTCTTGCAATCCCATCATTCTCAAAGTCTTTCAGTAGCTGGAAAGAAAGAAGAGGAACCTAACCCTGATTTGATTTTTTTGGCTGTGCAGTTAATGATTTCCCATGTGCATTGAAAGACTCAACCACTTGACTTAAAGATTGACTAATTTGACCTTCACTGGGACCCAAATCATCCATAATTGTGTCAACACATACATAAATATCAATTGTGTCCCCATCATGCATAAATAATGTCATGCTACAAATGTCCATGTCATTTTTCAATTCCACCAAATCACCCCCTAGAGATTGAGTTGCATATGTTTTTCCTAACTTACTAATCCCAAAAGACTTAGCATAATCTGCAAGTTCAGGAATTGATAAATGATCTTCATCCACATTCTCTACATATTCAGTTCTACCCCCAACATATACTGGACCTACCTCACTCACCAAGATACCCCCAAACTTTAACCTTAAATTGAGGTACTTAATAGTCATAGTGTCAACCTATAACCACAATAACAATCAGTATATTGTACAATACAAGCAACAAAACCAAAACATAGACAATAACACCAAAACATAAGCAACCATTGGTACTTAGTATAGTAGACGTATTACTCATCAGCATACAATAGGCAACCCACACAATATACATAAGGAAATTACAAAATACCCCACCATTTAACATTACCAGAAACACTAATACTTAGAACCTTAATTTTACTAAAAAGCCTTAATTTTTAAACTAATTATCAGAAACCTTAATGCTCATGCATGAATAAGGTGAAAAACTTCATAATAATACCTTCATTAAGTGAAAATTCTAGTTGAAAACTATCAAACCCCTAATCGGAAATTCAATCGGGAACTATGGAGAAACCCTAGTCAAATCATGGCGAAACTATAAACAAAAAATAAGGAAATATATGAATGAAGAATTAAAGTAAACAGACAATAATACATCAAGCCTTCACCAAATCGAGTGGCTAATCACCTACTCGGTAACAATTTCAGACAAGATCAAATGAAAATCGATCAATCGACATCAATCGACCAAACACTTCACGAAATCTAGCAAGCCTTTACTCCAGAATTGCAACTGACCCAAATCAACTCGTTACTCCGTCAATTACACTTGCTAAAATTTTGAAGTTCGTTTGAGATTACACTTCTTAGAATTGGTAAGAGGTTTTGAGCAAAGCGGAGAGGTTTAGAACAAGCTTCTTCGAGAAGTTTTAATCGATGTGAATTATGAAGGTTTGAAATTTGGTCCCGAAGTTTTAATTATCGAGGTGGCAAAATATTTATCTAGGTGAAAAAATATTTATCTAGATGTCGTGTGCGTGTAGACACGGTTGTAGTGATCGGTCAAAAAAGGTATACGTGTTGGATGAATAAACAAGTTTAGGGAGGTAATTAAAACAAAATAAAATTTAGGTGTACACTGAATAAAAAATTTCAACTTCAGTCTTCAGGGGGTTAATGAATACTTTTACCTATCTTTTATTGCACATAAGAAAATAAGTAAGAAATTAACCTACTTATTTTTCCGGAAAACATCTTCGATGATATCAAACACAGTTTTTTTCATAAAATAATTTTTAATTTTTACCATGTCTGATTGATCAAAATTTTTAGAATATATTTTCCGTACTTTGGAAATGACTTTCCTAATGGAATTAAGTAAGGTAAACAAGTTTCACAAGTAAAATCGCACATTACCTTTAATATATCCTCCCCCATCGAGAACACACCTCATCTTCATCCCGCTCATATATATCCTCAATCCCCACCTCCTACGGTATTCATCTAAATTATATACCAATAAATTTAAAATATTAATTTAATGCTTTTGTATCAAATAGCTTTCAAAGATATTTTTTCCTTTCACATCAAATAGTTGGTGTTATGATTGATAGTTACTGTGAAATTGTTTCATATCAACTGATTTTGAACTATTGCTTTAATGTTGATAAATGTTGTCTTTAGCTACTAAATCACCTCTAACTAATTTTTTTTAAAAAAATTTCAGCTCAAGTTAAAATTAGAGACCAATAAAAGAATATTTATAGTATTAAGCACGACTCTAGTTTTAAAATGCTCATATTAATTATTACTAAAATTTACATTGAGTAATTGTTAAGTAATCTGCCATTTGTCAAATGCACAAATTAAAGAAGATAATGGACATGGTTTGCATAAATTAGGCAAGATAGCATATTGATAATATTTTTTTGAAAATAAATTAATAACACTACAAACAGACAAATGAAAATAAAAATAAATTAAAATACACCTAGGTATTAGTACATGTTGTCCATTAAAAAAAAATTGAAATTCAACTCCATGACAACAATACAGCTTCCATATTTTTTTGCAGATTTCAAGCACTTATTTAAATGCATGTAATGTACTAATTAAGAATAATATCATGTACTACTACTAACTAATTGTTCCTTTAATTTCCTAGCTAAGTTATAACCTTTTTTTAAAATCATTATTATTCCGGCAAATGAATCATAATACTTCCAAAAAAGATATGACAAAAAGTAATTGCGACAACAAACATAAAAATCATATTCGTATGTTATAACTATAATTTTCATAATTACACTCCATAACAAATTTTATGTTTGCTATGGAGCTTTTGGTCGATATAATTCGCTAGATACATCAAATTTATATACAAATTGCTCAGTTTGGTATAAATTCATTCATACAATTGGATAAATAGAAAACGTTTTCTATAATTTGTATGTGTACGTGTTCTTTGTATAAGTGTATGTATGAAATATATATGCAAATATCTCTCTCACTTTATACAACAAAAATTATACATTGTAATTTGTATAATCTGTGTTTTTGTAAGAGAGAAAAACAAAAGAAAACTGGGCAGGAAAAAATCTGTATTTATATAATTATACACACGAAAATATATGTATTTGTATTTGTATTTGTATATACACTTTTCTCTAGTTTTATACAAACTCAAACACATTTTATATATTTGTATACCTAATGGATTTTTATACCGAATGGTTAATTGTATATTGAGAATGACTAATTATATACCGAACCAGATTACAAATAAATGACATATTTACTGCGAATTACAAATAAAATAAATCATAGCTATAACATTTAATTTGAATTAATAGTTTGTTATTTTATATAATTTTCCTATTTTTATCCTTAAACCCTCGAGTAGAAATTCAATTATTGTACTATTTTCTGGTAAACAAATATTTATTTATCTTCATAACCATTAAACACAATCCCCCAAAACCTCAACTAAACTTTAGTTAATTAAACAAAGAGGGGGACAAATAGAGGAAAAATACAACTGAATCGTACGTCAAGTGAAATCTTAATAGTTCAATTAATTCATTATCTGAATTTTTATT